CTTGCATAAATAATTAATTGTAAGAAACTTGTTAATGATTATAGAGAAATTTTACATTTATTCAAGTTGCAAATGTGCATTATCACGCATCATTGGGCTTAGCACGTGTATTGGAACGCGCTTTTTTTCTTTGTTATTCTCACATAATAATAATTATAATAAAAATACTTGTTTATTCAAAAAAAGGAAAAATTTTTTCATTTTCTCAAACCTGATATACATTATCGCGCAGCATTTTTGAGGCTTAAAATGTGTATTAGAACACGCTCATAATTCCAAGTGCTGCGCGATAATGCAAATTTGCGAAAAATCGGGTCTTGAGAAATTTTCTTTTCGGTTTGAAAAAAATTATTATTACTATTATTAAAATGTAAGAACAATATCAATTTAGGTTAATTGTTGCAACTGCTATCATCATGTGCCTTCATACCGCAACAAAAAATATAAATGATAATTATTACATAAACCGGTTTCAAACAGTTAACCTGGTTCGAAATGCATACAAACAGAATAAATCTAATTCAAAAAAAATTTTTTTTTACAACAAAGATCTGATGTTTCGCAAATAAAACAAATTTGATTTTAATTGTACTACAAATTAAAGTCCCTAACCGAATCTATTCTTAACATAGCAAATTCAGCACCATGAAATGTAAAAATGGGTTTTAATACCATAATTAAACAATAATATAAAAACTGGTTTTTACAATAAATAAATCTTAACAAATAACGAAATAGTTTTTAAGCAAACCAAAATATTTACTTTAATAATTTCGAATGAGATTTTATTTAATAATAATATTATGTTAATTATCGAGTTTGCTATAAAAGGATCACAAATCGTTCAAAAATCAATTTCATACAAATTTCTTCACTTAAAATGCCTAAACAAAGAAAACCTAAAAATTACATCTGTACATTACGAAATTCCAATAAAAAACTAACTACAGTACGATGTTTGAACTCAATCAAGTAAAAAAAAAACTGACTACAGTACGATGTTCGAACTCAAGTAATATACACAAATCAAGCAAAATTTTAACAGAAAAAGTGGAAGGGCAAAAATAATTAAATCCTCATCAAGCAAAAGAAATGCAAAAACAAAGAAAGTTACAAAATTCAAAATGGAAAATATGACTTTATTGTTAAAACAAGAGCCAACTAATGCATCATAAGATTATATAATGCCGTGTCAAGTGATCTGACAAAAAATTACCGAATTTAGGAATTTTTAAAAAATGTATTATTGTAAAACATAAGAACAATTCATTTTTGTTATCATGTCATGTGACTTAAGACTGTTATATATAATATAATTTTTTTCAGTAATAGTATTTTTTAAACCCGGTTTTAATATATATAATAATGTGAATTATGTTGCTGCAAAATAATAAAAAAATTCCTTTCGTTGAATGGAAAATATTGAAAGTTTGTTGTTATCTGTGGTACCTGAGAATTGGAAATTTTGAAAATAAAATATTCATCCGAGGAGTTGAAAAGAAGATGAGTGTGGGCAACCCCCATTCTTACTTAACATGTATGGGTTGAAGTAACGCTGTCACTTAGGTGAACGTTATAGTTGTGGTATACTCTGCATATTGTCGGCCAGATGATATGTAACTATCATGATGATGTCATTGAAAGATGTGGGCAACTCCATGTTTGTGATGAATAGATCCTTGTGTTAACTTTTTTTTTATTTACTAGAGTCCATAATTAATCAGAAAAATTTTTAAAGAAGAGATTCACGTATGTTACTTGACGAAGAATTATAATAGGAAAATTTAATTGTTATTTACTTTCTTTAAAAAAAATTTTTTTTACAATTGTATGATTTAATTAAAAATTTTTGGAATCGAGTTGTTGCGATAATGAAATAAATTTCTTTCTAATATAAATTATGACAAAATAATTCGAGTAATAAATAAATAAATAATAAATAAATAAAAATTGACTAAATAATAGCTTTGAACTAGTCCTCAATGTGAATAGCTTAAAAGAGAATTGCTATTGAAAATTTCACCAGCAATTCTGACTGACAAAAAATTTCATGAACTTATCAAATGCTATCAGCTCCTGTCATCTCAATCCAAAAAATTCTCATGAAAAATAGAAAATTGATTGAAGCTTCGTTATCTAAGCCAGTCTTAAATATTCGAGCTTTTGCTCTACTTCGCAAGTCATTCCTAAAAAAAAAGACGTTACTACATATATAATAACATTATTAAAGACTTAAAAAATCACTTATCGATTATATTTTTAGCCATAGTTCTCTATACTTGAATAAATGATAGCTCGATTGACTTTCCATTAGATCACGGGAATTCTTTGATTCGAGATGACAGGAATTGATGGTATATAATAAGTTCATGAGATTTTTCGGTAGTTTGAATTGCTGAAAAAAATTTCTATAGAATTCTCTCTCTCAGGCTATTCAATTTAAAGTACTAGATTTTAAACCAATTATTTAGACAATTTGATTTACAAAAATAAAATAAATAAATAAGTATTTTGTATTTTAATTTGGGTGAGCTAACATAGATTCAAAGTATTTTTTATAATAATTCTCTCTATGAGAAATAAACCGAAATTGTTCTTCAAAGTATTTTTTGAGTCGGAGTGGTATTAAATTAATCGGATTTAGATTCTACTTTTGTAGTTGTTGTAAAAAAATGTTCGAAGGCACCCTGGAGGATTTATTTTATTTTCGCGAGTAAATAACTTGCTTTATGCTATCTTTGTCAGTCCCCATAATTTAAATTTTAATTTTGTATTTTCAGTTTGATTTTTTTCCAATAATGGTAGAAGATAAGTTCATATACCTCAAACTAAACAACTTTGCATAGAATTAGCTAGTTATTTAGCCAATTGTAATAAATAAATAAATATTTTAAAATGTTTGAGTTTAGGAGATAGAAATGGAATAATAATTTTGAAATATTAAACCTATTTCTAAATCTCAATACTATTGATGTCTATAAAAATTTTTAACCAGTGTTTGTTTACTTCATAACAATTCATCTTCTTCATTATAAATTTTCTAAAGATCTCATCGCCAATAAATACATTTCTTTGTTTAATATAAAATTTTCCAAGATCGATTGCTTTTGGTTTCATTCCTTTCAGGCAAGTGTTGTCATGAGCATTGAATTCCGTAATAAAATACACAAGGTAACTGAATAATTCGTCCAGATTTTTTCGTTGTAACTCATTTATCTCCAAATTATTACATAGCAATGGATTATTTAGCTTGGTAATATCATTTTGTAAATAAATTTTAAATGAATCAACTAAACTATTTTTTTTATCGTCCTCGATATTATTATTATTAGAATCAACTAAAAGTTTTTTGTTATCGTCCTCGATATTATATGGATTATTTAGCTTGGTAATATCATTTTTTTTATTGTCCTCGATATTATGCGTGAAGTAAATTTTTTGAATTCTATATTCCATAGGATTAAATTTGAATATAAAAAAATACAATAGTAGATTTTCTTATATTTGTTCTTTAAATAAGATAAAAATGTATAAAATTGTAAAAATAGTATTTATCATAGGAAATTGTTGAATATAAAATAATAGCAATGATATAATTAAGATAATTGCCAAATAAACTAAAAACGCCAAATTTTTAAATAAAAAAAAGATCATATGGGGCCTTTGCTATGATTTTTTTTTACTAAAAATAGATTTGTTATGATTTTACTAATTAAAATCTTGTGTAACAATAGCTTGGAGGGTCATTTTGTTAGCAAAAGCCCCATATTATTGAAGCAAAAATATAAATATAATTTGACCCCAATTAACAAGAAGGCAATGATCTCAGTGAAAAAGGGTTGTACTAATGTTTGTTTCAATGAACATAGTGAACATATAATTTGTCTACTTCTTACATTATAATAATAATTTGCTCTTTTTTCACTATTATTTGAACAAGTGGATTTGTAGACAGTGTTCTTAAATAATACAGAAAACCCAAGAACGAGACACGAGAACAACAATAGTGGTGGAAGGGATGCTAAAATCAAAGTAGCAATAATCAAAAAAGTCAAAAAAATCAAAGTCAGGAAAATTGTAAAAATTTTCAACAAAAGAAAAATAAAATAAGAAAAAATAGTAGTTGTTGTTCTTAGCAATAATGCTAAGAGCTTTAAACTGTTTTTAAATGATATTCTGTAATTTTTCAGTAACTTTTGAAAGCTAGATTTTATATTTTTAATAGTATTTTTCGTAATTGAACCTGTTCAAATAAGGAAATGATTAATTCAATTTTGTTTTAATTTATGCTCTTTGCCACGGCTATTTGTATCACCTTTTTTACAAAACATTAAAAAGAAACCCCGTGTTGTATATGATATACAGTATATAATGCTGATCTGTTACAGTTATACGCGCTATTGCAAAAGGCTTTTCGTGTTGATTTTCTCATAAACGAGTTGTTCAAATAAGGAGAAAATTTATGTTATCTTCGCTGCGGTTATTCGTTAACCTTATTTTTACAAAGCTTCAAAATGAAACTCTGAATTATGTATGATGTGCTGATCTGTTACGTAATTATATGCGAAGAAAAGTCATTTGATTAATTTTATCGTATTCAAATAAGGAGATAATTATTTGACTTAATTTATGTTATATTTAGCCACGGTTAAAATGAACATTATTATAATTAAATATGTTCTGTTATTCATTTTAAAAATTTTTATATTTATGCCATCTTTGTCTCAGTTATTCATATTACATAACCCTATATTTCTACAAAACAGCTTTTAATTATATAACTTATTCAAATAAGGAGATAATTAATTCATATTTGTTTTAATTTATGCTATCTTTGCCGCAGTTATTTATATTACCTTATCTTTACAAAAATTTCAAAATGAAACTCCGAGTTATATATAGTATATTTTATTATAGAAATATAAACTATAACACTGATCTGTTACGCAATTGTACGCGAAATGATTTTGTTTGAATATATATATACACATATTAAAGTAAGATTTTGGACTACAAAAATTTAAACGAATTTTAAAATGACTATGGAAAAAATTCGTCAGGAAAAATTACATTTTAGAGATGTGAAAAAAACACTCTTGGAATTGTGTCTGATTTTTATATTAATTATTGAATTAATTATAATTATTGTAATTTGGCTGTTAAGTATATTTTTCTTTCTCCAATTGATGCATAGAAGCTCAAACTGATTTTATCAATTTTTTATAGGATCAAATCACAGCATTTATACTGAGCCTTTCGAGCCATTTGTGCATGGAACTTTTGGGATTGTTCAACCTAAACCTTTGAATATGTTTATAGATCAAATAAGAAATTTTTTTGCTGAGATAACAGCTAGAAGTCGTGGATTCGGGCATCCAGATTATGATGGGTTCATGCCATATTAAAAATAATTTTATAAAATAGCCTCAATTTATTCAACTTGAATTAATTTTTCACACTGTTTTCTTTCATGGTCGTGATGGTTCGCTTTCTGTAACAATATTTCTACTATTGGAAGAACTTAAACCATTTAATAACAATTTTCAAATACCAATCTTTATTGATAATCTTTTTTCTCAACACCCAACTCACAACAATATACAACTCCCCAAATCTTAAAACCAATACAACTCCTATATCCAACATTAAACAATTATGTACAATTCTCGAATATTTGCAATGATGATACTTTGTAAAATTGGCTTTTAATTTATTGAACAATAAATATCTGAAACTTTGTATAATAATAATTATCATATTAAAATAATCTACGGATTACACCATTCATATTTTATATTTTATTCATATTTGTATTTTGAACTTTTCGAGCCAATTGTGCATAGAACTTTTGGTGCTGATCAATCTTTGTATTTAAATTCATTACAATTTATAACTGATTATTTTGCCGAAGTTTTGGACAACCAAATAAAAGTGATGATTTAGTGCAACACATCTAGTATCACAGCATATAAAAAAAAATTGGTTATTAAACAAGATCTACAAATAAATAATTTTACTACTCTTAAAATTAACTTTCTTTTAAAGTAAGTATTCAGTAATTAATTTTTTTTACTAAATTTACGCAAATAAGTGAAAAGTTCGAACACCTTGTATTTTGTAAGGCTCACTTAATGTTAAATTCATATTGCATGTGAATTTTAGTAATGTAGTTCGCAACCCTAATTACAATATAAAAAAAAATTTGATCCCGTGATAATCTGGTACCTATGACATAGCGATAGATCGGCAAATCGTTAATTTACTAGTGATTTGCTGATCTATGCTGTAATTAGTAATCGGAAGCCCCACTGTCATGTGCCAACACTGGTTGGTTAGGTTATACATATACAGGTTACACATGTACAATAGATTAGTATATAAATTAAATTAGTTTCACATTGACAAATCTTTGGGTCACTTTTTTCATAACAATAAATAAATGATAACAATAACAAAAAAAAAACAAACAACCCTCTTTTTGTCCAGATTAAATGGAGAATCTGAATTATCGATTCCCACATACACTCCAAACATACATTATAATTCTAAATAGGTAGATCAACTTAATCATTTGAAAATAAGAAAAGAACAAACTCAAGTCAACTTGGAGTGGGAAGAATTTTATATCAGAATTTGTCATGCAAAGCGTTGTATAAGGAAATTTCGGTAATTGATGATGATGAGAAAAAAAGGAAGAAAAGGCTTAGTGATTTGATTAAACAGTCAATCCCAAACTACTCTAATCTTAAAAATCAATTATGTGAATTTTCTCGTTGGAAGAGATTTATAAATTAATTGTTTTATTAATAGAAGATTCTACATTAAGTGCAAATAATATCCCATTAGAATTCTGTTTTCAACAATTTAGGGGTTTGGGTTTAATGGTTAATTACCTATGCGAAGTTAAGGAACAAGAATTTAAGAATTTTTTGGATGATTTTGTACTAAAATGTGTCGAAAGATACAAAGAAAATAATTAATAATCTAAAACATTATTTTTCAATACTTTTTAAGTTTTAATATCTATATCTTATTATGTAACTACAATTATGCTTATTAAGATTCATTATAAGCAAAAAAAAAATTATGCTAAAAATTTACATAATATTAAGATTATATGTCAATAAATATGATTTATTTGCATTTTACTTAGTTTATTATTATTATTTGAGCTATACATGTGGCCGAATTTTATTATTATTATTTACTATTATTAAAAAAGATATTTGAGCTATACATGTGGCCGAAACTATTTCGCTGATTCGAAAATAGTTTGGACATAAACTGAAATAATTTTTTACTAACTTACTTAAAGTCAGTTGATAATACTGCGATACCGATTAACAACCCTCTCATGTAGATGTCATAGCATCAAACTAGATTCTTTACAAAGAAATTTCTAGCTTATCAATTTTTAATTGGTGCCTATTTACTAACGGCTTGAAGTGTCACAACATCAAACTAGATTCTTTACAAGAAATTTCTAGCTTATCATTTTTTAATTGGTGGGTGCCTATTTACTTACGGCTTAAAACATCAAACTAGATTCTTTACAAAGAAATTTCTAGCTTATCATTTTTTAATTGGTGCCTATTTACTAATGGCTTGAAGTGTCACAACATCAAGCTAGATTCTTTACAAGTAAATTTCTAGCTTATCAATTTTTAATTGGTGCCTATTTACTAATAGCTTGAAGTGTCACAACATCAAACTAGATTCTTTACAAGAAATTTTTAGCTTATCATTTTTTAGTTTGATGTTGTGACACTTTAAGCCATAAGTAAATAGGCACCAATTAAAAAATGATAAGCTAGAAATTTCTTGTAAAGAATCTAGTTTGATGTTGTGACACTTCAAGCCGTTAGTAAATAGGCACCAATTAAAAATTGATAAGCTAGAAATTTCTTTGTAAAGAATCTAGCTTGATGCTATGACACTTCAAGCTATTAGTAAATAGACACCAATTAAAAAATGATAAGCTAGAAATTTCTTTGTAAAGAATCTAGTTTGATGTTGTAACACTTTAAGCCGTAAGTAAATAGGCACCAATTAGATTCTTTACAAAGAAATTTCTAGCTTATCATTTTTTAATTGGTGCCTATTTACTAACAGCTTGAAGTGTCACAGCATCAAGCTAGATTCTTTACAAAGAAATTTTTAGCTTATCAATTTTTAATTGGTGCCTATTTACTTACGGCTTAAAGTGTCACAACATCAAACTAGATACTTTACAAGAAATTTCTGGCTTATCAATTTTTAATTGGTGCTTATTTACTTACGGCTTGAAGTGTTACAACATCAAACTAGATTCTTTACAAGAAATTTCTAGCTCATCAATTTTTAATTGGTGTCTATTTACTTACGGCTTAAAGTGTCACAACATCAAACTAGATTCTTTACAAAGAAATTTTTAGCTTATCATTTTTTAATTGGTGCTTATTTACTTAATGGCTTAAAGTGTCACAACATCAAACTAGATTCTTTACAAGAAATTTCTAGCTTATCATTTTTTAATTGGTGCCTATTTACTAACAGCTTGAAGTGTCACAGCATCAAGCTATATTTCTTTACAAAGAAATTTTTAGCTTAACAATTTTTAATTAGTGTCTATTTACTAACGGCTTAAAGTATCACAGCATCAAACTAGATTCTTTACAAAGAAATTTCTAGCTTATCAATTTTTAATTGGTGCCTATTTACTAACAGCTTGAAGTGTCACAACATCAAACTAGATTCTTTACAAGACATTTCTAGCTTATCATTTTTTAATTGGTGCTTATTTACTTACAGCTTAAAGTATCACAACATCAAACTAGATTCTTTACAAAGAAATTTCTAGCTTATCATTTTTTAATTAGTGTCTATTTACTAGGGTTGGGGGCACAGAAAATCATCACACGGGCACACATAACACCCTAAATCATCACATAATAATAATTAGTAAAACATCACATATAATTAATAATTTCCATGTGATGATTAACATCACACCTCCGTGCCCCTGTGACAAATTGAAATCACACCCCGTGCCCCCAACCCTACTATTTACTAACAGCTTGAAGTGTCACAGCATCAAGCTAGATTCTTTACAAAGAAATTTTTAACTTATCAATTTTTAATTGGTGCCTATTTACTTACGGCTTAAAGTGTCACAACATCAAACTAGATATTTTACAAGAAATTTCTAGCTTATCAATTTTTAATTGGTGCTTATTTACTTACGGCTTGAAGTGTCACAACATCAAACTAGATTTTTTACAAGAAATTTCTAGCTCATCATTTTTTAATTGGTGCCTATTTACTTACGGCTTAAAGTGTCACAACATCAAACTAAATTCTTTACAAAGAAATTTCTAGCTTATCATTTTTTAATTGGTGCCTATTTACTTAATGGCTTAAAGTGTCACAACATCAAACTAGATTCTTTTTACAAAGAAATTTCTAGCTTATTAATTTTTAATTAGTGCCTATTTACTAACGGTTTGAAGTGTCACAACATCAAACTAGATTCTTTACAAGACATTTCTAGCTTATCATTTTTTAA